CATGACTACCATGAGATAAAATATACTTGATTTCTGCGAATTTTGGATCTGGAGATACACTTTCTGGAGATATACATATTACAGATTTTTCCAGATATTCAATTCCGTTAATGATTGCAGCTTTTAACAATGATGTTGGTGTAACGGGCAAATGAATATTGCTTGGTATATGTATATCACTTAGTTTCATTTTGCTAATGACGCGCAGGTCCGGATCACTCAACACTTTGCTACTTAATGACGCATCGCTGTTATGATCCACTACTGAACACCACAATTCATGTTTTTTTGCAAATGTCCACGTCAAATTCAAGAAATTTCTTGACTTGTTGGCTTTGAAAAACTGATGTTTTCTTTCCGATGCAAGACAGTTGATGTATCTAAGCAAGAGCAAGAATGAGTAAAAAAGATGCTGGGTTACGATTAGCTCACCTCAATGGGCTAGCTTCACCTATAGGTGAAATAAAACGAGGAACCAAAGTTACCTCCCTCTCTTTCTGCGGCCTACAGGTTGTTTTTCGTAATTTTGGCGATCCCAAAAATATTGAAAAGAGTGGTACGACTAACTAGATAGATTGTCTTATTTATTTCTTGAAGTTGAAGAACGGAGGTATTGTGCTTGACAGACTAAAAAAGCGCCGTCGTCAGTATATTATCCGTCGGTTGTAATAAAAAATAAATGGAATGAAAACTGAGCTTTTATCCTTACATAGCTCTTGCTGAAGTTAGCCAAAATTTGAGCCACACTTTCAAAAACTTAGTCATTGCCAGTAAATTTTAACCGGCGAGATATCTGCATGAATTATTTGTACAAGTCAAGTTGCAAGAATCTGAGGTACAGACATTGCAGTTATTCTAATCCGACGTCAACATATTCATGGTATTTTCGAACGTTTTGTCCGCATATTTCCGCTTGAATTTGTGGAACTGTCATCCGGTCAAGATTTTGAATTTGAAATTCACATTCTCAGATACGGCGACGCTATTGATGTTAACATTAACCTCGAATAATTTCTTTTTTATCTAAATTGCATCATTCAATCACAAGTATTTTGTTAATAAAAAGACGATTTTTTTCTGGTTACTGGGACCAGAAAATACGGAAATGCCACTGTTTGGTTTCTTTGTTACACACGTTAGCATTTTCGGCGGCAGAAAACGCCAGCAAATGTCATACTTCGGTCTATCAAAAACTCTTCCAGGCGTTATTATTTGTGAATGTATAGCTATTTTCTGGGCTCTCTTTGCTGAGAAATACCAAAGAAGGCATTCACAAAAGACGATTTGAACAAATCAAGTGGGCTTTTTCCCAAACTCACTGTCAGAGCTAGTAAACGCACGGCGACTTGTAGAATGCTGTAGATCATGCTATCAAAACTATTTGAGAGTTCTGTGGTACTGGACGTGTTTTTGTTGGTCCTCTTTCGAAAAGGAGTTTCCAACTGCGACTTTAGGATGAGGCTAGACGAGATAGCAAGTGATGTGTGAATGCTGTACTCAGATTAGAATTCAACCGCTTAACGGCAAAAGATATTGTGCAATACAGCGACTTTTCTTTGACGGGTCATTAGACGATAACTTTACTTTTTGTGACGACAAAGAATCAATTGCTAAGAGACAAATAGAGATGACATAATTAATGAAAAGAGGTCCACTGAATTTTCTTTCAACAAGCAAACGGACGGACGGATGTGCTCTAAAATATTCACAACGAATGAACAAATTAGTCCATCTAAGTCGTCTTACGAATCCCATAAAAACAGATCTTCCTCCTCTCTAATTTCAAATATGCTAGGAAGCACACAAAAAGTGACAGCTCAGCAGCAGCTACTAACAAATGACTCTTCATAGGATGTATGTTCAGAAATCGGGAAGGAGGAGTTAGTCATGTTCTTTTTGCTCTCATACAAACTTCGCACAATTTCTTGCATTTCTATTAGGTCGTTTACACGGCCACTAAGCGTTTATGTTGTTACCTATGCTTATACTCAACAAATATTTCTTGACATTTACAGCCAGCGCTAAGTTTTTGATTGTAAAACTTAACGATTCTGTATCGAGTTTTTTTTGTCAATTCAAATTTCTCATCGAACTGTCTGTTATAAAAAATGCCTTCTTTTGTTTTTTGTATAAAGCTTTTCGTTTTTTGAACTTACAAATAAAAATATCGAATTGAAAAATAAACAAAAGTTTTTGCAAATTTTGGCTGAGTAAACCAGCATCTCTATGATTTTGGATTGAACATAGATCACATGAGTCCTGATGAATGAGATCGCATGTCAATAAGAAAACTGACAGGTACGTTACCTCGGGCAGTTCAGTTTTACATTTTTATTATGTTTTGGGCAAACTTTTCTTCGAGATTTCATGTTTTTTAAAACAAGTCTATCAGATAAACTGTCCAACAATCGAATTTTGCATAAAAACGAATTCTGAGTTGTGTAATGAAAAGTCAAGTTTTTGCAAACTTTGAATTTGTGAGGGTCCACCCCAACTAACTGCAACTTATGGCAAGTCTTTTTTCTTGTAGAAAACGTCTTAAGCAGATATCACGGTTCATTCGATCCTCAGTAATTTCTCATGAAACTTGTCTGAAATTTACAATACTTGCGCCAATCAAAAAATCGAAAAGGTTGACTGACGAATTATTTCGCACTAAGAAGAACGCAGCTGTTTATGCTTGAAGATATAACCTGTCGAAGCAAAAATATTCGGCGCAATATTTTCTTGTAAGCGTGACTGCTTTTTTTTCATTTGTCTATCGTTTATTGTATTCTGTTCCCGTGTATTTATGTTCCTGTCTAAGTTTTTTCTTCGTAGTCACACTGTCTTAACTTTATTTTGTGTAGTTCATTCTGCTATACACGGAGATCACAACTCTAATGTAGATCCTCATTCATCAGAACCGTCAGACGCACACAGTGGCGAAGGCAATTCAGCTTCATTTGCACCATCCCAACAGCAGCCACAATGGATTTATCTGAAAATAGCGTCAGAGAGTTGTAAGGCTATACAAACTACAGCAGTTCTGTCTCCAGAGCTTAGTTATATTAGCTTTTTTGCGCTAAAGTTCCTGTATGTTGAACACATCGGTGAAAATGAGTTTTCGGATTCTGTAAAAGTTCAGCTAGAATTTAGGCGGACAACCTTGACGACATGTCGGAAAGATACAAATTTAGAAGTTTAGCGATGATATTTTGCTTCTACCTTTATATCCAAGTATTGCTGTGATGGAAAAAAACTCGAGTTTCGCGAAACAACATATTTTTGAGAAGTCCGTCAGTTTTAGAGCTCTTTTTCCAAGATTCGCAGCTTTTTATCGGTCACACGAACCAGCATGGTAATTTTTCCATTATTAAAAGCCAGATGGGAGCTAAAAACAAAATAATAGGCCAAGTGCACTGATTTAAAGAAGACTCAAGCCCTCAAGGATGAAAAGTGGCACAAATCGTCCTGCCAAAAAACTCGATGACAGCTTGGAAAATTCGCGTTGTCCTTCGCACTTCTCTTCTAAGTGAGAACGAGTAGTTAGCTCTACTTACGAAACTTGTCTTTCTTCTAGCTAGCCGGTGCCTTCAAACTTTCCAACAAACAATTCTGCTCAAAATTCGTTGAACTCTACGGCTATATGATGTGTCTCCGAGAAACAGTAAACCGACTTGATTTCTATGTCGTCTTCTCAGATGCAATTGCACAGATTATTCATGTGCTCGTGGACAATGATGTCACCATTGCTGGCCAGCAAGTTAGGTTAACGGTAGCACAAGACCCTCCAAGGTCATTCTTTGACCATTATCATGTAATACATGTACATGGAGATGATTTCAACAGTTTCAGAGGTAAGGTCAATTTACTCATCACAGCTTAGATACTACTTCGTTTGACTTTAATTAAATTGAAATCAGCGCTTCGGAAAAAATGACATGCTTATTTCGCGGACATTTGTATTACAGCGAACTGGCAAGTCGCAAACTACGTCGTTCTTTCCGAAAAAAATCCCACTGAAAGTTACCGCATGCATGTGCGGCCTACTTTGTTTGACGATGAGCTGTCAGCCAACCAGGGAGTGTTTCTTTATTATACCTTCTAGCTATCGACAAAAGTACTGAGCCGTACTTCCTTTCAATACAACCTGCAGCTTACGAAGAAAAAGACTTTTACTTTATCCACGGCTTTACTGATTTGTATAAGTCGGAGGATGGACATGAAATTTTGGTAGCCTTCAAATCCAATCTCGACTGTTATCAAGCTTTGCTCAAGTTTGTCAAAGGAAGCGACTCGCCAACACGTGTCGAAGTTCGAAGTGGCCAGAATGTACCAGAAGAAATCAGTGAGAAAGTACAACAGAAGCTGTTAACGTATGAATATGATCGGTTCAAGAGACAGAGTAAGTACAGCAGTAGCGAAGGTGGTTTCCTTGGATACAAAAGCTCAGTTTGAAAATACGTCCGCGTTGATATACAAATGCAAAATGCTTGGCCGTGCGCGAATTTCCGTGACTGGACTATAATTTTTTGAACATTTTCCATATGGAATAATTCTAACGACAAAAATCCTCTGTCTTTTAGCAAGAAAAAAAGGCAACAAAAATTTTTGCAACTGTCTTTTGCTCGGCAAAGAGCCTCCTTCGCGTTGAAAATACAAGTTCGGTGTTTCTTCCGTCTTTTTAGCGAACATGAAAAATTGGTTCGTTGTCCACGGAATAAAAGGCAGAACTGTCTGTTAATGTAACTATACATAACTTTATACAAATATCTGACCTCTGAACCGTAATTGCGAAGTTCATCCGAAGTTCTTAGCTCGCAAATATGAGAACTGTGCAGTTTAATAGGTTCTAAACCTAAAAGCAAAATTAACGAAATATACTTTTAATGAACATCAAACTTAAGGAACTCAGATATTATTTACGTACACATCCTTCTTACTCCCCACCATTTTGTGTATCTGTCCGTTTACCAGAACAAGACTACAAACGAGTTGAAAACCTTCGTCGAGACCTCATGCTCGATCCTACCTACCCAATCACCGAAAAAATCCCCTTGGACGTTACACCTGCCCAACAAATGTTCCTACTCGCCGACGTCGCATGCGGAGTTCAAGGTGACTATGCTCACAAAGATATTCGCCTCTTTGCATTTCACCACTCACTCGGCGAAGAAAACGAGGACCACCGTCTCACTAACACGGGGCCCGTTGTCGGTGGACTGACTGCCGACTACAAAGTTCATCAAGACTTTGAAGACTTAACTTACCTTTACATTCAAGCTCTTGCAACTCATCCCGATTTCCAACGACGTAACATTGCCAGACGGCTACTGAGAATAGCGAGTGAACGTGCTTGGAAGAAGGAGGAAGTGAAAGCAGTTCAGTTGATTTCGACGCCATCTGCAGAGTTGTTTTACGATAGTTTTGGGTTTTACGTACAGGGAAATACGGTGTGGTGGTGGTTGATTAATCCACGGTTGAAAACGTCTGAGAGGAAGGAACTGTTCGAAAGGTTGGAATTGAGGCTGTTTGAAATGTCTGATGATATTTATCATGTAAATGATGTTGATGATGAGAGAGCAATGAGGACGTTGAGGGCCTGTTTGAGAGGGTGAAGAATTTTGAAATTTTCTTCTCTTTGAAATTTTCATCCTTTTTCTGCTATTTCTTGGCCGTTTTTGATCGGAAAAACTTGCTATTGAACACAGTGGTAGACCGAACATTTTTCTACACGCTCATGTAAAAATCTATTGAAAATCTCCGGCGCTTAAAGGAATAAGCGCTTAAAAAATTACACGTAAATGAAATACTTCAAAAATTTTTTTATTTATTTTATATATTTAAAAGTTTTTTATTTCAGATTCTCTACATGGCATTTAATCACGTAAAAGAATGGAGAGAAATAAATAAACTAGTCAGTATCATGAAAAAAAGAAGTAAAATTGAAGAATATTTAACATTTTTTCTTTATAGGCCGAGTTACCTCTATTAGAAGAAGTATAAAACAGCAAATGATATCATCATGTAAACTACTAGTCGTATATGCTATTATTGTAGATGACATTTTATGGAAATCCTCTACATGAGCGTCATGTCGGTGATTATTTTCCACCTGAACCTGTAATCGATCAACGAGGCGTCACAGGACTAGATAAAATTTATCGTACAGAGTTTAAAAAACGTGTTCCAAATTTAAAAAAAAATCTTG